GTGTGTGTGTGTGTGTGTGTGTGTGTGTGTGTGTGTGTGTGTGTGTGTGCTTAGAGTTAGAGAAAGTCTCATTTGTCTGTAAATATGTTTTTGAGCAATGGGGTGAAAAGCCTAAAAAGGTTGTACACGGTCAAAAATTGTGTTCCATCAGGAAACATACATCTGACCATTTGTTACTAATAAATTGAAAGGATTTTATAATATTTTGAGTCTAAACATTTTTTCATTGATTATTTTTATAACATTTTGCACTTCACCTGAGATAAAAAATGTGCAAGAAATTGGGTCTAGTTTTAACACCTTGTTTTACAAAAAGGGGCGTATTTTTTAAACTACTCAAGATATTCGAAAAATGTTTTAAGATCAGCGTGTTCAGCATTGAATTTGCTTCAAGAATGTGCCCTAATTTTAATGTCCAAAGTTTCCGACAACTGGGACCTTTCTCCAGGCACACACACACACACATATTATGACCAATTCGTACTGCGAGTGCCGTAAAACCTTTACAAAAACTAAACTAAACTAAGCTAAACTGTTCCTGGCGCAATCAGTCCGCTTTGACCAGCCATCCTTTCAGCGTCTTTCCTTTACATGTGGCCTCCTGTGGACATAGTCACGTGATGATGACGTCAGAGGAGAAGGGCGAGCAAAAAGTGGATGATGATGATGATGATGATGATGATGATGATGATGATGATGATGATGATGATGATGATGATGATGATGATGATGATGATGATGAAACAATAACGAAATGTTCAACCTAACTGAGATAAAACACAAATTATATCAAGAACAGTCCCTCCCCACAGCTACTGTATATTACATTATGTATCGAGAAATGATATCCTTTTATAAACCAGTTGTAATGTTAGCAAAATGGTAGAAATGAAGACAAGCGAACCTTATGTTATGTTACGATTCCATTATCTTTTCTTGTGTAATATTAAAACATGTTTCAAGCTCTTATATCTTCTGATTAATTGTATTGATATTATTGTTATTATTAGATGATAGATTGTTGATGGGAAAGAAGGAGCAAAAAACAGAGGAGCGTTACAGGAGAGAAATATAAACAGAAAAGAAGGAGGAGAGATAATAGGGATAGATGATAGATGGGAAAGAAGGAGCAAGCCACACCTGAGCACCCGCCAACCATCCACAACCCACCTCCTAAATTATGTAAACTGTATGGATGCAGGTTTAAGAAATAATAGTCTCAGCTTCAGAAGATCTACACAGCCTAACTCCCCACCCCCTACCCCCCAAAAAAAGAAAAAAAAGCAATGTGCATTGAGAGACTCACAAAGTAGAGGTAGCCCCGGTCCACTCGTCTGCTTGTCTCTACCTCCAGGTCTTTGAACTTTGTGATTGTCTTCAGAACGTTACCCGCGAATGAGGCAAACGACTGGGGAGGACAGAGGGTGGGGAGAGGGGGAGGAGAGGAAAGGGGGGTTAGGAGGGGGAGGCGGAGCGGAGGAGAGGGGGAGGGAGAGGTGAGGGAGGGGGGAAGGGGAGGAGAAGGCGAGGGGAAAGGGAGAGGGGAGGGGGAGAGGGGGAGGAGTGGGGAGGGGTCGGAGAGGGACAGGACAAGGTCGGGAGGAGAAGGTGTAAATGTGTGTTTGGCCTTAACTATTACATGTTTCATTTACAACTCAGTGATGCCGTTTCTAATTAGATATATGTTATCAGAATTATATGTTCATTTTGTAGAAACGTTTTTTGTTTGCGACCTTCTCTCTCTCGCTCTCTATCTCTGTCTCTCTATCTGTCTAGTGAGAGAGAGATTTATCTTCTCTTCTTTTCTCTCTCTCTCTCTCACTCTCTCCATCCCTCTCCTCTCTCTCTCTCACTTTGTCTCTCTTTCTATCTCTCTCTATATTTCTTTAATTATTCTTTCTCTCTGTCTGTCTGTCTGTCTGTCTGTCTGTCTGTCTGTCTGTCTGTCTGTCTGTCT